AATCTATGTTATAGATACTCACACAATTAAATGAGTTCCTTGGGGAATCTAATATATCCTTGCTCTTTGATGTCTCAAGTCAGGATTAGCGAAATCCAGACTCTAGAAAATTTAAAGATAGTATAGTTCTCTTTTAAAATAGCTCTTTGAGGTCAAATTTAAAACTCAGGCAGGGAAAGAAGGATCTTAAAGGAAGTCTCATGAAATTCAGCATGCTCTGAGGTTAACATTAATTTTAAATGATACCTTGTACCATTTAAAAGTGAGAGATTGTTGCAACAATGTGTTTTCAATTCTAAACAAAGTTAGGATAATAAGAAGAGTAATTCTGCAGAGTACATCTGGTGATGCAGCCACCTGTGTTACAATAAAAAGCAATAAACCTCTTTAGGTGCTTGTTTTGCCTCAGAATATTTGACTGTTACAAATGTAATCTCTCCAGGGCGGGGACTCCATCTTGTTCAACCAATTCAGCCATTGTTCAATGGTGCATAGGTATATGGTGCTATGCAAAGAAGTCAAGGCAAGCCATAGGGATATGGTTCTCAATATTTTGCATTTCTTTTCCTATCTAGATTTTTATTCCTGTTATTTATTCACTCTGAGCATGCAGAGTCTTCCAACCTAGCACATAGGGGCTGAGTATGAGCAAATAACTTTCTTTTATATAAATATGCAGATATAGATATATGTTCACATGTGTATATTAATTATTCAAAGTCTTGTTTAAACATATTAAAAAATAAAAGTTCACAGTCCCAAATGAGTTTAGGCATGCTTTCGGTAGCCAACCATTTATTTATCAGTCAACCATGTATTTGTGGATCCTCTCTCTCAGATCCTCATTTCCTAGCTGCATCCTAGCTTCAGGACTTTGCTCAGTGGTCCAGGCAGCTAATGATTTCCTCTGTGTGCCCTGTTGGTGCCCCATCTACATAAAAGAAAGTATTTGACATAGCAAGATCCTCACTTTCAACTTGTTTGAACCCTTGCTGCTCAAACTGTTACCTGAAAATAAACAGCTCTGTAATCCCCTCATACATATTTGAAGAAGAGTTTGGTAGCAGTACTCAACAGAAGTTTGAAAATCTTTTAGCAAGTTAATGGATTCTTCTGAGCCTCAAAATATATTTATAACTAAAGCTTATAAATGCCTGATTTCAGAAGCACTGAATCCTCTTACTTCAGTGAAATAAGGAGAGCTGTAGCTTATAGACCCTATAAAGACTTTTGCTCATGATGTACATTGAAAAGCAAAGTAACAGAAATATAGATCTGCCCATCTGAATGAAAGAAACATATATACTGGTGTTGTAGTAATAGGTGCCAGATATTGATCAGTGTGAATATAATGAATTGTATGATCTATAAGACCATAATCCAGCTATTAATCTGTCTTTTAGGTCATAATCACATACACTTCTAAAAGCTAAACTAATCAAACAGTAAGAGTCATCCAATTCAAGTTAAATTATTGAAATTACATACACATTAATGCCCTGCAATTACCAAATGAAGTATAATACTCAGTGTTTTAAATATGCTGTGCTAAGTTGAAAGTACAAAGGAGAGAACATCACTTACCTCCCTGCCCAGTTCACAGTGATGTGGATCAGGACACATTAAATTGTAAGGTTTCAAGATCTGTTCCCATCTGTTATTCTCACATCAGCACCAACATTTGAAATAAGCATCAACACCAAGCCACAATGTTTCCTTTATGCTGCTCTATCTGAATTACATTTATTTCCTGTCTTGTGGGCTGCTTGACACAGCAAAGTTGGTAATTGATGGGACCATCCATCACTGGAAAGGTTGAAGCCTACTTGTGGTATGTCTTTCTGTACTAATTGCCAGTAATATAGAGACAAAATATGGATTTGCTGACAATCCAATCTGGTTATTAAGGAGAAGCACAATTACAAAACAGAATTTTTGAAAAACAGACAGACATACAACCCCTTTGCTGTCCTTTGACTCCATTGGAAATACATTTGATAATACAATAGGCTTTGATTTTCAATCAGTCCTCAACTTTGTGTGAATATTTTACATCAAACTTTCACATATACTTGGGACCAATTCTCACAGTTGTATCATTTTCAGACACATGTGAAAATCTCCAAAATTCAGACACATGAAAATCTCCAAAATTCAGACACACGAAAATTGTAGCACAAACCCCATTTACTATTTCTTTTTTTTTTTTTATTGCAGTTTCACACTGTTGTGTTGGTTTTATAAAGTAAAAGTCCATCACAGTATACAGTCACAAAGAAAGGCTGAAATCTTGACACTGTAGTTCATTCAAAAGGACTTCTCAGGGGAAAAAATGTGCATTAAAAGTGAATATCTATGCATGCTGCAACTTAGATGGTTAAAATGAAAATTTTTTGTGCACACATTCTTCCTCTGCTTTGCTTTTTGCTTTCAACAAAGACAACAGGCCATTAAATCTGTTTATTATCAACCTGGGTGGTGGGTTCTCATGAACTATTAC